ATTCCAACAGGCGTTTACGAGCCCGGCGCCGCAGCCCGCCCATGCGGCGCGCGGCCCCCGACATGCGAGCAAACGCTCTTAATGACTGTGCGGGGGCCATTTGGCCGCTCCTTTACTCGGGACCGCAGCCGGCGCGGCGCCGCGCCGCACCGCGCGCGCTTCCCATGGTCCCGTGCGTTGGCCCCGCCCCGGCACCGGCCCCGCGCGTTTCCCTCGTTCTGACCCATAGCCGGGGGCGCACAATTATTTCTAATTATTTGGCAGTAAACACGTTACGGTGCGGATCGTACTACTACGCCAATTTTCTCAGAGGCTATCGGCGGGCACTAATAGAGGGTGTGGAGTAATAACTTTAACTGTATAGTAAAGTGAAGGCTCGTCGTGCCTTCGTGAGAGTACCTGCAGGAGCGCCGCGACGTGGGCGTGGGAGGGGGGGGAAGCGATTGGAAGTATGCGGGGCTCTGGCACCACGAGGAAGCGGCATCTCTACTGCACGTACTTCATAATTTATGTATAACTAGTGTCCTGTAGCAGAGAAAATGTAGTTGTAGCGTCACTAGTGTATTGCTTATTAAGATCTATCCGAATTTTTTGTGTCCTTTAAATATAATGTAATAATTTGTAATAATAAAATAAATAAAAAAGACAAGTATCTAACATGCATGAGTTGCTGAATATTCGCGATACAATCTCGCGGACGCAGTAAATTGTTGTAGATTTGTTGAATTTCCTGAAGACTTCTCTCAATTATTTACGTGAGTTACGTGATAAAAGAAACTTATAAACTTCACTTTCACATACACTTGAAACTTCATTGCCATCAATTCAAATTTATTAATCAGTGAATTTTTGTTCGTGGCACGAGTGACTGTGTAACCAGTTTGGTACGTAATACAAAACTAAGAAGAGATCTATCGATTCATGTTGAAACCAGCCTTGATTGTTTTTTCAGTGAATGTTTAGATGTCGAAATAAATTATTACTTACAAAATCATCAACAATATCAAAATTATTTCAGTTGTGCGGGTAGTGAAGAATTCAACAGCACTCAGAAGTCCCCCCCCCCGTGATCAACGCTTGTCTGTGCAAGAGAAATCCATCTCATCTGACGCCAAAGAAGAACTACACAAACGGAAATTCTAAGCGCCAAAACTACGTCGAAAATTGTTTAGTTTATTTTTTGGATAACTGCTCGTTTGTTTCTTTAGCTGAATCTTTGCCTATGAACCTTGACTTTACGTGACCCCAACCGTCACCCATAAAAAAAGAACGAAGTAGGTTTCGGTACGAGGAAATGGAGATTTCCCTTTGTAGCGCGAGTGCTGTGTGTCACTCGAGAAGGAACTTCCCAGCTGGACGTCTGGCTATTCCCCATCCCGGCAATGCCGCGTCCTTGACTAGGCAAAAACAGGCGCACTTGTGCCAAGCACCAGGAAGGAGGCCGACACGCAGACTGCAGTTTGAAAACAGGAACTGGAGAATGCAGGAAGTACTGCTTGCTCCCTCTACTGCCCTGCCCTCTTGTTCTGTCGGATAGACCTCCCTCCACCCTCAGTTACAGCTTTTCTTTTCCTTTGTTTTTTCGATCCGCCATGTCGCAATTAAGTTATTTTCTCGTTTTATTGTTTCGCGTTTCATTTTTCTTCATGGATCCTTTCGCCCTTCCATCCGCTTCGTGCTTTCCTTGTCTTTGTGCCTTTCCTTCTCAACAATCTTACTCTTCTTCATTTTCTCTCTTTGTCTTGTGTTAGTGTTTTATTTCTTCTCTATCGACTCTTCCGAACAATACCGTTATCGGTTCTTTTTCTTCTCTTTTATATTTCCTTTGATCCTATGTCTTGTCGGTTGTTGGCTGACACGAATCTTGATTTTATTTTCTTAACGTCCGTCCTTCCGCTTATCGCCTCCACGCTGCCCTCCTCACCAGCTTCCACCACCATCACCACCACCACCACCATCATAACTATAAACATTTCATCTCTTCCATCCCTTTCATCAAACAACCTCACCACCGCGTGACTGACAATCGACCCTGTCACTCCTATTTCCATCGCCAATGGTAATTTAGTCAACACCTCTATCAACTAGATGCCTCTACAAATCAATTGCTGCAATAATTACCATATCTACTAGTGTTATCTTCGTAAATCGCATCATCTCTTTATTATCACTTTATTATCACAGTGTCAAAGGTCGTCTCATAACTTCTTAATTTACAATGACCAAATCGTATTTCTTTCATCTCCAACGTCACACACTCCACACGCACACACTCCACAGTGTATTCTGCACCACAAGTATCAGATACACAGCTGTAATTCCCACAACGTGAGGTGTTGCAAGAAAAACTTACGATTTTGTTGACAAACGTCAGAACTCAATAATACATGAAATGTTTTGCTGAAAAGACGTTACTTGAATTGACATTTTGTTCCCGAAGGAGAGAAGATTTATCTCTGGTCGCATTGGTAAAGAGACAATATCTTATCTTTCCTATTTTACGTGGAAGTGACCTTGACTATTATTTCTTTTTCATCCCCAACTCAATTGCCCCAGCTTCTTCTCCATCACAGTTTTGTGCCTCTACACTCTCCACCACCTCTGTATTTGCCACAGCGCGTGCCTCTATTACCACCATCACCATCATTGCTCCTCCGCCACCAGCAACGTTCACCGATCTCCATCTTCAAGCAACAACTACCATTAGTACAACATTGACAACCGCGAATCTCGTCACCGTTGCCACCACCACCATCGCGACCTACGCCGCCGCCGCAACGACTATCACTATCACCACTCACTGCCATCACAATTACCGGCTTCATGATCCCCATCCGCACCATAGCCACCGCCTATTACAGTCGCCATTACCATCTCCACCAACAACATCGCCACACACACTACCACTACTCTCACCAACATCACTACAAATTACCACCGCCGCTATAACCACTATCATTACCACCAACACCCCACTACTACCAGTAATATCACCAAAACCGCGTCCTTTCCTTTCGCTGCCGTCACCACCACCAATCACCCCCTTCATGGCCTCCAAGCGCACCATGCCCACCATTACAAGTCACTGCCACCTCCATCATTACCACCGTCACAAATACTACCCGCAGTATCAACTCCACTACTACCATCACACCACTACAACCACCATCTCCTATTCCGTCACCGCCGTCGCCACCACCACTACCGCCTCCGCGCGAGTTTTGCGTTCCTGTCACGCGCCGCACTGTACGTCACGCTCGGCGTCTCCTTCAGCTTTCGGGGAGGGGGGGGGCAGCAATAATAATGGCATTACCTACACTAGCCGGTAATAGCATTCGACAGGTTCCCAAACTCGTTCCCCCACAATAAAAAATGCTAAAGAATGCTCCGGGAGGACGCAAAAAGACGACTGCTTACTAAAGGAAACAGGAGCAAAACGAACGGATTGGAAAAGGAATTCCGAGAATAATAATGAAGGGTTGGAGGGGAAGAGGGGGAAGGGGCCGTAAGCCGCCGCGGAAGACGCCTAGCGCAGTGCAGCGGCGGCGCAGGGGAAGCCTGGCATTGACCTGCAAATGCGCGGAATGGCCCCCTCACTGCCACGTCCTCAGTTAAGCAGGCGAACTCTTACATTCAGATCTCCATCTGGAAGAACAAACAAGGGATGTGTTTGATATTTCTTAATGGATATGCCTACTTTTCAATTCCTAGTAGCAACTCGATACACTACATTATTTGTCGTGCCATCAGTTAATGCGAAAAGTAAATAACGTATGGGTTCGAGAAGAATTGTATTGATATTTACGCTCCTCTGAACTTTTCAATTTTGGAAGAAGTTTAAAAAATATTTAATTCATGTTTTTTCCGTGATTCAGTTTCTTGTGGTTTAATAAAATAATAAAGTAACTTTAATACTAGTAATTAGTATGGTCCTACAGTAAATAAGGGCTTGCAATTTCATTTAGATCTGAATTCTCAGAAAATAATTTCAGCAACAATGTAATGCAGTACTGGCATTACCACACACTGGTATCACTTCAAAATACGAATTTTGTTTTATGACTTTTGTTATAAAGCACTTAATAATAATAATAATAATAATAATAATAATAATAATAATAATAATAATAATAATAATAATAAGTATTATAATTAACAAAACTTCGTGAAGCCTTTTAAGCTTACTTGACAATCTTTCAATTATGAAACTTGTGTGATTACTGCGAAAACTTGAGAAACCACGTTTACTTCAACTATTCATTTTATGTTCTAAAATATGTATATTTAATATACATATCTTTGTATATCATGTACAATATTATTATCGGTGAAAAACCGATTTCGTTTATTTTTCGCTTTGGTCACCTCGATCTGAAGAATATTCAATCGATGAATATCGGAGAATTATTATATGATTTTGTTATAATGAACTTTTTTCATTGAAAAATATCGACCACATAAACATATCAATCACAAAACATCAGCTGGAAAAGATCAATGTTTTGAAAATATCGACATCGATGTCACATCCTCTTGAATTTGCTAATGAAACGGAAAGCCGCGCCACCGCGTTGCGTCGGCCGCGTGCGAGATAGGTGGCAGGCCTCTGCGGGGCGTGTGCAGCTAAACGCAGTGCTAAACCGGTGCAGTAATTTGCCGAAACGAGATTAGTAGAGGCAATTGAATATCTAAACACCTTGTTGCTAATGAACAGTTTGCATTCTTTTTGCCTCTTAACGGTCTAATCGTTGAAAACGGTCTTATATTACAAGATCGTTATTGCCTTTTGAAATTGCTGTACCCTGCGCGCAGCCAAGTAGCCTGTTTTAAAACACATGGAGTCATTGAAATATTTTCCTGTCGGTGTTCCGAACATACGCTTTTATGGCGTTAATATGTTATGTTAATTTCCTGTCTTTCTTTTATCGATTGGCTATGGATAATCGCGTACTCCATTCGGTGCAAAAAGTTAATCAATATTTGTAAACGAACTCCAGATATATTGGCTTCGCTTGACGTTTTCTCTTTTTCTACTTTTTGAAAACGAATATAAAACTAGTGGTGCTACAGAATGGCCCAAACTTTCTCGCGTTAGTTACTTTTTTAATCTCTGTAGTTTCTGTCTCTAAGTTATGACGTTTCTGTTTTCGAAAAACTTCATAAGAAATCATTTGAAGCACTTGTACTCACAAATTCATTATTATAAAAAACACCCATACGTCGTGTGAGATATTTCATAAAATCGCATTTTGCAGTTTTTCAAAAATCAAAAGAATGCATCAAAATGGTGTTGATGACACGTTATTCAGTCCATTAACACTATCTGTATTTTTGTTCTTCCGGGGATTTTGGCCAGATTCAAGGTACGTCGATTTCGACTACCCGCGCCGGGCACCACGTCCCTCATGGGGACACACATTAACATTTACACTAGACACACTTGCGGGCTCCTCGGTCTGTGGAGAGCAGGCTCACAAGGCCTTCTGCGACAAAACTCAAACATGAAGGCTTGGGAAAAACAACCATGCCCACGGCGACACTCGAACCGGCGACCCTTCAGACCAAGGTGCTGAGACGCGGCACAAGCTCTAGCCACGTCGGCCATCCAGGTCGGCGATTTAACATTTAACAATATCTGTATAAAATGTTTAAAATAAAATATTTGACCCGTTTTTTTTAATCTTGTTTTTAATATTGTTCATTTCACTCAAAATAGCGCGAAAAATAAAAACTATTTTCAAAGGCTCATCTGGTACAAATGTTTATTATTACACATTATCATACACTTTCTGCTACGAGAACATGGAGACTGTTGGTTTGAATAACTATATTCCCTACTGATCTTAAGAAAACGTGCACAAATAGAGAAGCTACATTTTTGCAGAAACAAAACAGGGCATAAAAACTGGGTCGTCGAACCAATTCCGTTAGCGAACGAAAGTTGCATTAATCGAACCCTAAAATACAAAACACATACTTACAGTAAGTTAAATTTAAAACTTTTTATGCAAACAATATCTATTGTATGTATTTGTGGCTTCCACGAAGAAGAATGTTAAAATAAAATGTACGTTTATTAATTAACAAGAAACATTTAGTGTTCTGTAGTACATATTAATTTTTTTTAACAAAATGCGTTTTTTCTTACAGACAAATGTGGGTCCAATCCTTTTGTCAGTCAACCCCTACAATGATGTGGGCAACCCACTTACCCTCACCAGCACACGCGGAATAGCCCTCAATCCGAAACTCCTCCGGGTTGTCAACGAAGCAGTGAGACAGCAGTCGGAGACGGGCTACCCTCAGGCCATCATCCTCTCTGGTGAGAAATGCACTTTATATTTCATTCACTCAGTTATCTTAAGCTTCATTTTATATAGATATGTTTGTTTTTTAATTAGATATATTGCTCCGATTAATATAAGTATATAATTTACATGTGCGTGTGAATTACTTGCAGTCAAATTGTCGACTTCGCAACTACTATTTGAATGCTGTATTCTCAGAAATGCAACGATATTTTCAAAGCGTCACGATTGTTGTAATTTATCCACGCATTTGCATTGTATACAAATAAACCTGAAAGAATTTCAGCCCAATTTCCATTAATAAATTATGGTTTATTTTCATGTTTTTTTATCATATCTCCAAAGCAGTTTCGTGCTCGATCATTCAAGTGTTGGACATTGAACGCACCACATAACCTTCTGTCTGTCTCTGTCTCTGTCTCTCTCTCTCTCTCTCTCTCTCTCTCTCTCTCTCTCTCTCTCTCTCTCTCTCTCTCTCTCACTCTCTCTCTCTCTCTCTATCTATCTATCTATCTATCTCTATCTCTATTCTCTACTCTATCTCCTCTCGCACCATCTCTCTCGTCCTCCACTCACACTTTCTGACTCCACCCTCACACTATCTCTCTCCCCTATTCACTCACTCTCTCTCACTCCCCCTTCTCTCACATTATCTCTCTCCCTTTCGCACGCCCTCTTTCGCTCGCTCTCTTGCTATTTTTTTGTACTTGTAGATATAGCTTCAAGTATTTGTTCACCTCCCCATACAATAATGCGTGTATTAAGGAACATTTTCAACACTCGTAAACTTAAAAGAAATGTACTGAAAACACGTCGGTCACTCCAACCGCACCACATCACCAAGTAAACAATTTACCGGACTCACTACGACGGTCGATAAAATTCGCAGGTGGTGGATGGGTTCAGTGCAATGAAACCACTCCGCGGTTTGCTTTAAGAGAAGGGTGCGCGACATATTCCAAACGATGTAGGCGTTGGCGATCATGTGGAAATGCTCTCCCCATCACACCACTTACAGACCCAAGAGGGTGTTTTAGAAATCATGAATATGTAGAAGTACGATTTGCAGTGATTTCGCGATTACTCCTGCGTTCAGATTCCGTTAAGAAACGCAATTGCCGTTCACGTAAACCTGCCAGAAAATTATACCCAGTAAGATCGTGGAATGTGGAACGTTAGATACTCTAGCTAAAACTTTTTCCTTGCTCTTCTCCTCTGGTAATTCGCTGTAGAGTGGCCAGCATTTGTTTGCCTGAAGTGCCTTGGCGAAGAGGTTGCAGGTTTAGTTTCCTGTAGGCGATTCGTAAGAAAGCAGCGGAGCATCGGGTGCTGGTCGAGGCAGTTTCCACGCAGCCAAGGTTCGGCCCGGCCCTCTGGCTACTCATGTCGCAAGGCTGACTGCGCCAGAAATGAATTTGATTCATTCCCGCCTCCTATCGAGAGTATCGTGGAAGGAAGTATAAAAACTCGCCGCGGTCGGGCTGCGGAGACGTATAAAATGCCCGCACATAGTACGAGTATACAAGCAGTATGCTCTCTGAGCATAATCGGCTTAATGGATTAGCAGGGAGCAGCTTTTGACCATTTGTAAGAAACCATCGACTCAAAACCGTGTAAGTTTCTGATGGATAGAGAATTACTTTCCAGTCCTGCACGAAATTAAGAAGAGAAAAAAATAATATTTGCAGATTATGTCATGAACAAATTACTGCGATGCACATTATATCTTGGAAGCAAACCGTTCTAGACTTTTTAAACTAATTATTGAGTCCCGAAGGTACACGTTTTATTGGAAAAAATGAGTTCGTGAGGATAAGAGTGATTGGTGCTCATGCGTGTAAACACATGGGTGGGGAGGTAAGGGGAACATATGAGTCTCCAATTATACTTCTTAAATGGTCTCACGGCGTATAGAGTAGTACGTCATGCTCCAATTCTTAGCTTACCTTGCAATTCCAAAAACTGGAAAATATCCTACCACATTCCTTGCTCTGCCACCTGAGAGTCAGTATTTCGAATTTTTTGTGTCTGCTTTTGTGGGTCAACATTTTCCATTTTCCCTGCATCTTGGCGTACGCCGCGCGCAGACTTACATGTTTTGAAAATGAAATTTTTTTAAAGTGAAATTTTCCATTTTTGTAATAGAATGTATGCGTAACATTAAAAAATTATCTTGCTTTAAGCTAAAATAATTTTAGGAATTGTAAAAATGTTCTAAAATAATTTTTCATACAATAAATTTGTAATTTCAGAGCATTAAGTAACATTTCAGGTGTATGTGTACAAATCAAATTAAATGGCTTACTCTGTACACTGTGCACTCAGTTACATGACTATTGGCCATGCACCTACTTGAGAGTAACATAGTATTCTAAAAATTAGACTTTTTTGAACTTTCTATTCATTTCTTGAGATTTAGTTCTTTTGGGTGCCCCCACTCCATAGTATAAGTGGTCAGAAAAGTGCAAAAACCACAAAATGCATGTAAACTAAAATTGGAAGGAAAAGACTGAAACAATCTTTCACATTACAATTAAAGTGACTTTGTGATTATCTGTGCAATTTAATTTCATCATTTAGCAATATTAGAATGGTTACTTTCACTGAGATCCAGGCTTATAATGTTGTAATGCACAGTTCAGGGGCTGGCCATTGAAAGTTGGGGTCTACCATTAAGTAATTTTCACTTTAAAACAATTATTAACAAAGTGCAGAGTTTTCACATGGATGCAACTAGTTTTTACCAAAAGAGTGGTGTTGTCATATTAGACTTTTCAACTTGTTTGATGCAAAAGGTTGTCCAATATCTTGATTATACAAGGTAACTTCTATGCTTAAACCAGCTCTACATCTATCCTTCTCTGGTGCTGTATTAATTCAACACTTCATATTTCCTTTTTAAAGAACTAAATTTATCAAATAACACTATAAATTCTTTTTTTGTTTCAACCTTTACATATTTTAATTTTTCTCTGGTGTTAAAATTGAATGAAGATTAATATTTAGTTCATTATTAATGAAAAGAAATAGTGAATCATAACAATGTTATTCTTGTACCAGTATGTTGGCAAATTTTATGTAATATGGAGGGTTAATGAGAAGACCATTATGGCAAAAACAAATTAAACAGTTATGTACACAATTTTTGAAGATCAGTTCTCCTTTACTTTTTTTTTTTTAAATTAACAAATAATGTTTTAACTTTAATAATAACTTTTAATAAACTTTTAATAATTAATAAACTTTTAATGTCAGGTACCAGTGGCTCTGGCAAAACGTATGCTTCGATGCTTCTGCTGCGGCAGTTGTTTGATGTGGCGGGTGGTGGTCCAGAAACAGATGCCTTCAAACACCTCGCTGCTGCCTTCACGGTGCTGCGCTCACTTGGCAGTGCCAAGACAGCCACCAACTCTGAATCTAGTCGAATAGTAAGTGTTGCCATTTCATAATCTGCATTAATCAGGACTCTGTTTGAAAGATTGCCTGTTTAAAAGGACTGTGGGTTTGAAAGAAGCTATTACTGAAGCATATAGGCTTTAAACAAAATACTTTTGCTATTTTCTAAGAAAGGATTTATTTATATTGACTTTCAGCAAAAAATAAAAAATAAAATATGATCATATTAATCTTAGAGCCTCTGTACATTTTTTGCTATTATCCATGTGTTATTCTTTTTACAATTTTCCTTTCATATCTAGACCTTTTTTATTTCTGTTCATTTTTAGTTGGTAGAATTGAAATTGCAGTAAAAATAACATTGTTTTTTCATAGTTATGATTCTAAAGAAATTATAAATATCTGAAAAGTAAATATTTTCAGTTAATAGTGCTTTTTTTCATGTACTATTGTGCAGCAATTTATTGAAAATGTTACTCATGATTGTACAATAGCAGATAAATCCCCTAATCTTTATCATTCTTTAAGCCCCTCAGAAATAAACAAAGGTGTTTTTAAAAATGAAGGAAAAATCACCCTTAAAAAGGCTTGAAAAGTGAATGGATGCACTTCATTATCCTATCCACTGTTATTTTGATACACATCCACTATTAAAAATTGTTATCTATCCCTTTCCAATATCATTCCTTTAATAATACAAAGCTAAAAAATCATTCACCCTTCATAAAATTTTTATTGTTATTAAGATGCAACAAGAAAGCATTTTTACCTAATTGTCCTCTCCTGGTGTTCCAGGGCCACTTTATTGAGGTACAGGTGACAGATGGGGCGCTCTATCGCACAAAGATCCATTGTTACTTCTTGGATCAAACACGGGTCATCAGGCCATTACATAATGAGAAGAATTACCACATTTTCTACCAGATGTTAGCTGGTCTTACACCAGAGGAAAGAGGTAAGCCAATGGATACTTTACATTTTAATATATTTATATGATTAGAGAGAAGCAACTATATTTTTCATGCCTGTGCATAATCCACCTGATTTTTCCAATACAAAGTTGCAGGACACATTTTGGTTGAAAACAACCAGTCTTTTATCTCTGTAATAGGAATGTGTTCTCTGTAATATGAATGAAGGGATTGAAAAAAATTTACAAAAGTTAGGAAGCCACAATAAGAAATGTTACACTTTAACAAATCTGGTGTTCATAAAATGGGCAGAACACAATGGAATTGTATATAGGATGGGCCACCCCAGTGGATCACAAGTATCTTCCAAATAGTTTGAAGTATAAGAATGTGAATTGTTATAGATGTTGTTGAAGATGATGGGGGAAAATTCATTTCCTTGTTTGTAGTTTTATTACATTGACATCTAATTTTTTAAATGAATATGCATATATTTAATATTTTCAAACTCTCAAAGAGGTGATATTCAGTGATAGCAATATGTTAATAGTATGTAATATTAGTTAATGATATATATTGTTATATTAGTAGTATATAATAGTGTTACTAATATAATTGACTATTGTATTATTATTTGGAATGTGTTTGGGGCAAAGACATTTGGAAGTCAGTTCATGTTCTCCAGTTCTACTCATGTTCTCCATTAGATCTTAAGTTGTAACTCATGGATGAAGTGGAAAAGGTGAACAGACAATGTTTTAGTGGCAAAGAAGTTAATAAAGTTGTTTCCTGTCCAACTTTCAAACACCAATATCATGACAACAGTGTACAGAGAGTTAACCAGTGCACTATCAAAGAAATTATAAATTGGTGTGTGACTGATGATACAGACTTGATTCATTTATCCTCGGATGCAGACTTCAGGTTCACAATAATACCTACTCTTCCAACAGTCCTTGTTTTCCACCTCTCCTGCTCCCTTCTTTTTAACTTCTCTAATCCCCAAAATCTTTAAATTGTACTTTTCCATATCTTCTACTATTTCTACTTCTTTGCCTATTATTGATGAATATTCCATATGTTATATTCATGTCCAATTTCTTGCGGGGTCATCTAAGTTGTCTTTCTTGTCTGAGTCTATTTAAGTTTCTCTGAATCTGCTATAAGAGTGAGTGGGTGATTGGCCCTACGTCACTCTGCCCAGTGGGCATGTACCCTTTCTGCCTCTGGGCCTGTATGATTTTGTTCAAAGTTTGGACATGTTAATAAAATGGCAGAGGATAGAAAGTCGAAACAAATGATCGAAGCCAAGCTAGAGGGAAGGAGATGGTCAAGAGGAACATGGGACGCATATATACAGGATATACGCCACTAGGAGAGATGAAGCACAAACACAAGCCGAAAAGTAGTATGTCAAACGGCTAACCCAATGCTGAGAGGCATCAGGGGAAGAAGAAGAAGATACAGACTTCATGGTCTACTACTCCATAAATAGAGGGTGGCTTGGTTGCAGAAACATGTACTGGAGACACGAGTAGGAGTATATTCAAACAAGGAATGGACAGAAGGGAAAAAAGAACAAAAAATGGTCGTAACTTGGATCTACTGCTTAAAGTGCTAAAAGCACCAAAAAGAGTTGTAGAGATAAAGTAAATAAAAACCTGGAAGAATCAGAACCAGGAAATCCAATGACTCTTTGGTAGTGTTAAACTGATCATTGAAACAAAGAAATGTCAGGCAAAAGCAAGTTCCATGAGGTCTTAAAGACAAGCAATGACAAACACAAGCCAGAATAAGAAATTTGATGAACTGTAATACAGTGTATTGGAGAATAAGAAAACCAGACTGTCTAGGATATAGAAAGTTGTAAAACACAAAATAAAACTATCTAGGCATTGCAGAGGATATTAAGTTATCTAAAAGAAGGAGAAAAAATGGTTGAAAAAGAAATAAATAAAAAGTAAACAAGAAAAAAATAAGGAAAAAGTAAGAAAAACAAGCAAAGAAATTAAACAACGGTGGTCCAGATGGCCAAGATCGCTAAGGCAGTACAGCCGTAGCGATCTCAGACCGAAGGATCGTGGGTTCGAGTCTCGCCTCAGGCATGAATGTGTTCATCCTTTCACCCCCCTATCATCATCATATCATGTCATCCTCATAGTTACCAAACCGTTCCGTGCAATAGTGGTCTCTAATGACCTAGTAGTTGATGCGACCTTAAATAACAAAATTAAACAAGTTGAGAGGTAGATTGCCCAAACTGTAGATATAATTCATAAAATCCAAGACAATCAAAGACAAAAACAGAATGTTATTGTGTTCGTGATGAATGTGACAGAAGGTGATCCAAAAATGTGGAGTGAGTTATGAACGAAGTGAAAACTATACTTTATAGACTTGACAATTAGAGAAGCCAATCCCAGAAGACAAAATCCTTTAAGTCATAAGAGTGGGGAAGAAACCAAGCCATTAAAATTGGTTTTGAAGAACCAAGATTAGGCAAATAAAAAAAAGTAATAAAGCAGAAGATGAACCCAGTGAAATCAAGATGAATAATGACCTCTTCCAGCTCATTGGACTTTGGAATCTGCTAATAGAAACAATGAAGAAAAACCCAATTGGATATGTCATGAAATTGGATATGTCCCACAAAATAATTTAAGAGAAGGTAAATGAGTAAAGGCATCAGCAATCATCTCCACCTCAACCCCCTGCCCCCTATCAGCCAAAAGATAATAAAATTTCTCTCCATAAATATTTGTTCTCTGATCATTTAATTTGATTAAATATTATTGGAGATTAAATAGTTACATATATTCATTGGTATTGAGACTTGGTGAAATGAAAACATCACCAACTCATTCAATCATATATGAAACATCACAATGTTTCAAAGACAGACCTAACAAGTGAGATTAATATACATGTGGAAAACAAACTTGAAACATTGGTCCCAAAGTCGAACCATTGGTTTCATTGGGTAGATGTGAAGTTCCAGAGTAAAAAGTGATGCAGATCAAACTGACATTGGGAACTTCACAGTATTCTTGATTAGAATGTTTAAACCTCCTACATCCATCACTCATTTTTAAGAAAGATAACAATAATTACCAATAAAATACTGGCCTATACATGGCAGGAAAGGTAGTGGAGAGATGTGTCTCCCTAATAATTCAAAAATCCATTAACAAAGAAATATTATTCCTTAGTATCAGTACATCTTTATACCTAGAGGGTCAACTGGAACACACCTGCAGATTTCATAAGATACTAGACAAATTCAATGAAAGAAGGGTAACCGATGGATATCGAATATCTGAATTATTCAAAATGTTGCTTACAGTTTCTTCCAAATATTAAGAATACATATGTCATGTTCCTCTCTTCAAGAGTATTTTAATATTGGTAGAATGCTGGAAATACACCAAAGTGATGAAAGTTATGAGATAGCAATATGCAAATATACAGATGGCTATAGTATTGTTTACAAAAGGTATAAATGGTAGGGCCTCCCTCCGGGAATGCCCCCTTAATGAAGCACTGTTCATGTGGGCGGGGATTGCTCTAATGAAGCTGAGGGCTCATGCAGCGGTAGAATGGCTAATGAATAGCATGCTACAGATAGGGTCACCCATCCTACATCAACCCGTCACACTTATCATATTTCTTGTTTCCTATCACACCTATCCATCTGCTCCTTCCTCAGCAACTGTTGGTCCTTTTCTCAGATGTGGCATTTCTTTCATTTGTACCACATCCCTCTCTCTGTTGTCTGTACTTTTGGGTGATCAAGGCCCCTTGTGTTTCTTCTGACCCTGACGCTATTAGGTTTTGAGGGCTAGGGAGTTATTCATGTTTTCATCTTCACATTTATTTGTCTTTCTCTCTTTTCAACTTCTCTTTCCTTTCATATGGGGAGGGGGGTGTTGAAGCCAGGGAAAGGCAACCTCTCCATAGCACGAGAAGCCAGAAATGAAACACCTTGGTCCTCCTGTACAGAGGTTGACGCTGTGGGCCTACACCTCCTCATTTGGAAAAAACTACACATGAACAATTTCTCATCAAAGTCTCGGAATATGGCAAACGTAATATACAACAACTATGGGCAAGGAAAAGGACTAAGAGAATTGAAATATTCAAGGGCTATCCAAAGAGATAGAAGAATTCACAGAAATTGATAAGAATCGAATGGATAATGTAGCATTTTCAGAAACAAAGAAAAAAGGTAAAGGCTTAGAACAGGAGGGATATATACATCTTTACTCAGGGGACCAAAGGATGAGAGAGGCCATAGTGGTGTATCATTGGCAATAAGGCAAAAGTATAGAAACAACATAAAATCTTGGAAGCAGATAATTGATTGAATTCTACAAGTTGAAATGGAACTCTACAGTTACACAGTTGTAGAAATTGCTGTATATGTCCCTATTGACGATCCCATTGCAAGTGTTAAAGATGAATTTTTAATGAGTTGACAATGTCGTTGGCAACAATCAGTAAATGTAAGGAAAGAATTTTACTAGGGGACTTCAATGGTAGAAGTATCTGTCAAGGGAGTGACCAGGTGGTGAGGCCATATGGTGAAAACAAATTAAATGATAATGGAGAGCACCTAATCAAGTTGTGTCATCAGAACGCCTTGAAAATAACAAACGTATGGTTTCAATATAGTCATACATCAGTAAACAAAGATTCAACATTCTCAGAAATTGAGGTCCAATATTGACTACATTATTGTGAAACAGTGCAATAAAATAAAAGTCAACAATGTACGAGTAAAGAGGGGGTCTAGAGTACTATTCATACCATTGTCTTGTTATCTGAGGTGTACTTTCCATTGAAAAAATCTTGTCAAGAGCCATATAATCAGTATTACGGCTATGAGAGAGTAATGTCAGTTACAAGATATAATCTTAAAAGTCTGGAGGAAGATTTAACAAAGTTTTTATATCAGGTGTGACTGGCTAACAAAATATTATCGGTTCAGGACGGAACACCTGATGCGAGATAGTTCCAATTACTATGCGGGAATGGAGTGACCATGGAGAGGCCTTTTAACTGAAAATAGAACACATTTTATGCAATCCTCTCAACAAGAGGAGATGCAAAGCATCTATAATGCCTATTATCCCAAATGAAAAAAGAGCAGCCGTCTACTTCATAAAGAACAGAAAGGCCCCAAGGTCAGGTAATATCAGTATAGAACTCTTAAAATCAGCACCTGATAGTGTGATGGAAATACTGACAACAAGTTTGAATAAGTGTCTACAGCTACATAACCCACCTTATTGGGAAAAGACCTTCACTATTACAATTTATAAGAAAGGAACTAGGTGAGACTGCAATAACTATCATGGGATAAGCACAATGTGCACAGTAGCAAGATTTTTTGGTAGAATCCTGAAATTTAGAATTGAACATCATTATACAGAATTAGAAGAACAGAAAAGATTCAGGGTAGAAAGGTCTTGTATTGACAGTATTGTCACACTAAAAAATCTAACAGAAAAACAAGTTGAAAGAGGAAGGAATGTCTATCTCATATTTGTTCACCTGCAAAAGGCATACTATACATCGTCATTAAATAAGATATGGCTAAGCATGAAAGAAAGTGGTATTGAGCCATCGTATATCAATGCATTATATACTGATAATAACAGCTCTGTGAAAATATGTAAATGACTCTCTAGAATTTCAAGTGAACAAAGGGTTAAGACAAGGATGCTCATTAGCCCCTCTCTTATTTAAAATTTATCTTGAAGAAGCGCTTAAAAATTGGAAAGGGAAGTGTGGCAGAATGGGATTGCCAATAGAAAATTATGTTCTGGACACTCTGCTGTTTGCTGATGATCAAGTAGTCATAGCTGGAGATGAAGACGATGTGAGTTATGTTTCACAAATTACAAGAGAGGTATAAAAGATGAGGTCTCACTATAAACCTTAAAAATTGGGTATATGATAGCAGAGGATAAAAACCATGGGATCTGGATGTTGCTACAGGGAAAATTAAACAAAGTGAAACTTTTAAGTACCTCAGAGTTACCCTCTCCTTGCAGGGAAGAAGCTCTGATGGCATTTCCAACAAGATAGGAGAGAGAAAGAGAGAAATTTTTGCTATTCTCTGGAGCAAAAATTTAACAGAATGGAAGAAGGCTCATATCTTTAACACCATCATACAGAACATAATTACCTATGAAGCTAAAACATGGACATTGAACAAAAGGAATAAATGTAGGTTGATGGCCCTTGAAATGCTGCTGGGTGTCCATGTTGGATCATATTAGAAATGAAACAGTAAGACAGATGATAAATGTAGAGAGCAGCATCTTGGATTCAATTGGAACAAAAAGATTGAATTGGTAAAGACACCTCCAGCGTATGGGAAGCAATAGATAGCCTAAGAAGATTTGGTATTGGACACCTTCAGAGCGGAAGAAGCGTGGAAGACCACCAAGAAATTGGAGAAAGGACATCCAAGAAGAAATGTAGGCAAGAGATGCCTCAAAGATGGAGAGTGGGAAGATCAGAAGAGGTGGAAACTGAGAAGCGAGAAGCGGCGACAGCCATGAAAACTCAGTTTCTGATGTGATTATAGCCACATGACAGATATTAACAGAATTTGAATGTGAAATGGTATAAGTATGGGACATTCTATTTTGGAAATAGGTAGAATTCAATATTCCAAGGTCCACAGTGTCAAGAATTCCTAATTTCAATCATAACGTCTCACCACAGGCAACACAGTGGCCAACAGCCTTCACTTTAGGACTGAAAACAGAGATGTTTGTGTAAAGTTGTCAGTACTAACAAGCAATATTACATGAAATAACCACAGAACTTAATGTGGGATGTATGACAAATGTATCCAGTAGGACAATGCAGTGAAATTTGGCATTAATATGCTATGACAGCAGGAGACCAACTCAAGTGTCATTGCTAAAAGCACAACATTGCCTGCAGTGCCTCTCCTGGTCTCATGACCTATCAATTGGACCTTGGACGACTGGAAAACCATGGATACAATTTCTATGGATGAAAAGGTCCCATGTCAATGGGCCACAATTGTTTGGATTGGTTTGAAGAACATTGTAGACAATTCAAGCAAATGACCCAGAATACCCTACATTAATACAATTGAAAAATTATGGGACATAATCCAAGGGTCAGTTGTGCACAAAATACTGCACTGGCCACACTTTCACAATTATGGACAGTTATAGAGGCAGCATGACTCAATATATCTGCAGGGACTTCCAAAGTCTTGTTAAGTCCATGCCACATCAAGTTGCTGCACTTGCCAAGCAAAAGGTGTTCTGACATGATATAAGGAGATATTCCATGACTTTTGTCATTATATACTTTCATTTAAAATTTCAAAGGGGTACCAAAATTACAAATGTTGCAAGCAAGAAAACAAAATATATTATTTCCCCAGCATTATACATCAACTTGCTGAAACCACATCCTGATACCTCAAATTGTTTGAATATATTTATTAAGACTAACTTAGGTGATGTACCTTGTGAGGTATAAAGTACAGTACAGTAATAAATTGAATACAAACATCTTATAGTTCTAAATTTTAATCCATTATTGAAACATTTTTAAAAAATTGAAGAAAAATAGCCTTCTTCTTTTTCTGCACTTCAAGGATTAGGCAACTGTTTGTTCTCTCTTCACATATCAAACCATCTGCATGGTCTTCCTACACTCTTTCTACCAGTGGGGTAGTACTGCAGGACTTGTTTAGGTAACCTATTGTGCTCCATCCTTTCTAAATAGTTTTTCCAGTCTTCTTTATATAGTTGTATACAATCTTATAAACTAAATATATCTAATTCTTTTCTTATGTCCATTTCCTATGAATCAATATTGCTACTCCACTATTTGCTCTTTTACTTTGGTCTACTCCAGAATAGAACATTGTGTAATTGTCAAGATATTTAGTTCCCTTAAGCCTTTTCTTCGTTTCTGTTAAAACAGCTATATTAATCCTACATTCCTTTAATTCATCATTGAGTATCTTTTCTTTGGTACCTAAACCTCTTACATTCCATGTGGCAACTTTTAGCCTATCCTTTATTCCGAATCTCTTGTCCTTTTCTCGCTTATGTTGTCGTACATGGGATTTATCCAGCTTATCTGTGTGAAGTTATTTAGTAACTGAAATGTCCCCTGACCGCGTTACAGGCGCCGTGTAGGGTAATTCCATTAGTGGGGTTGCCACTTCTGAGCCAATAGGATTTAATATCAGGGTTTTCTCCCTTAGGGAAGTCGGTTTCACCTGGAGAGTCTCCCCTACCCTTTGAGCATTCTTCCGCCAGTTTCGTCTTCTCTTCTTCGACGAAGCCGCCGTTGAGGTCCTCTTCTGGAATACTTCTTAGTCTGATCCAGGTCAAGACCTCCAGACCCCTATCTTAGCGCTAGCACGAGCGGTTAATGAAACTGATCGCTTTTCCGCGCGGCGCGGCGAACGTCGCCAGGCTGTGGGGCTGTGGCAGTCATGCGCTTCCTGTCGCCCACGTAAAACACTTCTTTGACTCACGGAATCTCAAGTACCATCAAGTTTGAAACCGAAGCATCCAGCCGCGGGTCGCCGCCGCCAGTTGTAGCCCACGTAAGACACGACCTTCGTTTCTCCAGTGAAACACTCGCACTAGGTCATCTGTAAGGTCCCCAATGGGTGTCCGCTACCTCCACCTCAGGGGAGACTTCTTCGATGATGACCTTCGTCCGACAATGTTTTTTCCAAGCTGACCAGAGGCTCTGAGGCTGTATTTAAATCAAAGTATAGTTCGTCTTCTATCTGGTTTTGCGTCCACGATATTAAACGAAAACCAATGGTACGAAAGGCAATTCCTTTCAATATCAGATAAAATAAAACAAATAAAAGTTGTTAGAGGGAGTGACAATAAAAAAGTAGATGTCGCTAAATATCTGTGAAAACTGGTAAAAAATATTGAGTTTTTAGTTTGCTCATAATAATCAATTTCAGTTATGCGTTTTTCTCACATACGTTTTTTACCTTCCAATGTTTCCCTGAAAAACGTAAAAGCGGAGTTTTACTGTAGAGCCTAAACACTAACACATAAATTTTAATAGTTGTTTTCTTTTTTTTAAAAAAAGTATGTTTCTATAGTAATTTTAAATAAATGTGTGTTTTTGGTCCAAAATTATGTTGTTACAATAATGTTATTTGTATAATTTTGGAAGAACTGAAAAACACAAAATAACCAAGAACCATTTCTTGTGCAATAAATATTATGAACCTTAAAATAAAGTTTACTTTTTGTACAGTCAAGCTAAGCCTAGAAGGCTATTCTCCTCACAATTTACATTACTTAATGTGTGGAGACACCAGACAAGATGAGGCTGAGGATGCAGCTCGTTTTCAAGCTTGGAAAGCTTGCTTAGGTATGTTCATTCCCACTTTCATCATCCAAAGCTTAAACAGGAGGTTTCCATAAGTGTAAATAGTCATTGGTCTAAGAATGAAATGGATAAAGAAAGACATACCTTTCATGTGGTGATTTGCAATTACTTTCGATGTTCATAATAATTTTTAGATACATTTACCTTCCTTCTTAATGTATACAAGAGTTTGGGAATTTAAATGTAGTAGTGCACACTGATGCTTCAATTAGCCAGTTTTGAGTGGAAGTTAAATCATTAATATTTGGTCATGATTGTTAATAATTTTTGCTCACGATTATTTGTTGATGATGTAAAAATTATTTAATAGTTTAAATTGAAGTCATTTATGTTTACAGGCGTTTTGGGCATTCCCTTTTTGGATGTAGTTCGGGTGTTGGCTGCAGTGCTTCTTTTGGGCAATGTGCACTTTGTGGATGGTCAGGGACTAGAGGTGGATGTGAAAGGAGAGACGGAGCTAAAAGCTGTGGCAAGCCTACTGGGAGTGTCTGGTGTGGCTCTTTTCCGAGGTCTCACCTCAAGGACACATAATGCTCGGGGACAACTCATCAAGTCTGTGTGTGATGCCAACATGGTAAATTAAATGAAAATATAACTCCTTTTGTTATTAAGTGTTTACTTCAATACATTGAATATATAATTGTAATTCAATTTTCTATTTTACAGTCAAACATGACCAGAGATTCATTAGCGAAAGCTCTGTATTGCCGCACTGTTGCTACCATTGTTAGACGTGCCAATAGTTTGAAGAGACTGGGTTCAACCTTAGGCACATTGAGTTCAGATTCCAATGAATCAGTACACAACCAAGCTGAGGTATTTGTCAAAATGAAGGGAAATGAAAAACAAGCCCTGAGCTATTAAAAATAATACCAAAATGTTTATTGTACTTTATAAAATGTTTTCAACTTTTTTGTCTTTTTTATTAAGTTGGCAAGTCAGCATGCCTCTACAATTGGGACTGCTGGATCCAAGTCTAGCAAATCAATGGCAGCTCTGAATAATGCAGTACGACATGCCACTGATGGCTTCATTGGTATCTTAGACATGTTTGGATTTGAAGACCCTAAGGTAGTTCTCATGAAAATCAAATTTAGAAATTTTTAAATAGGAATAATTCAGGTGGTGAATAGAGTGAGCTGTTGCCAGATGTTTGCAAATTTAAAACAAATCTATACCATTCCCATTCATACCTTTGAGATTTTAAATGGAAATTACTATGTATACAGAGAATCAGTATTATCTATCTCTACCACTATATTATGGTCTATTATGTCTATCTCTTTCCATGAATCAATTTTCCAGGGCCACGTTTTTGTAATAAAAATTAATAAATAATTGAATTTAAAAAAGGTCAAACACAGGATTCTAAACTGGAATGTTGAAATGATTTAACTAATTTAATCAATTCATTTGTGAAATAATATTGGATTGACATTCAAAAATTAGGACAGAAATTAGAAAAGAAATACTAACTAAAAACAATTATTTTTACAAATAAAATTTGAATAGTATTCTTAACAGGCCTATAGTAAATTAGTGTGAATTACTTACTATATGTAATCGACAATTTTACACATTTCTTGTTAATTTACCTTTTAAATGAAACATTTGAATTAGTAAAAACAATATTTTAATTTTCCATCCAACTATTTCCTGATAATTAGCTCAGATATTGGAGGTTCTTCTTATTATCATTCCTAATGACTACAAACTGAATTTTAAATATACTAGTTCCAATTACAAAGAACCATATTTTTATTTTGAAATGGAGATTTATACTTTGGAATAAGGTCCAGTGCAGTGTTTGTTCAAATTCTGCATTGCTGCTATGAAAATGCTCTTTAAAAATATGTACTTTTGAAATTTTGTTTGAAAATAGAATTTTTGTTAAGATAATTTGATGCACTGGGTCTTTTCCTTTACAGCCCAGTCAGTTGGAACATTTATGTATAAATCTCTGCGCGGAAACTATGCAACATTTCTACAACACTCACATCTTTAAATCAAGTATTGAATCCTGTCGGGATGAAGGCATACATTGTGAAGTGGAGGTAGATTATGTTGATAATGTACCTTGTATTGACCTCATATCTTCACTGGTGAGTATAAATACTACCATCTTTAAATATTTTTTTGCAATTTGCTTCTTCTCACATTACATAAATAATGTATAAATTTGTTTTTATTTCAGCGTACTGGTTTATTGAGTATGTTAGATGTAGAATGCTCAATAAGAGGTACTGCTGAGTCTTATATTGCCAAAGTAAAGGTTCAACATAAACAAAATCCTCGCCTTTTTGAACCAAAACCTCTTGAACCTCGTACCTTTGGTATACAACATTTTGCAGGTCGTGTTGTTTATGATGCTTCTGATTTCTTAGGTGAGTAACTGTAATTTGCAATTCACTGGAGTACTGAGTTGAAAAGAAACTTTTTTATCTGAAGATTTCATTATGTTGATAATGACTCCTATTGAAAACACTGAATGTATTTTAAAGAATTGTTTTGATTGACAGAGATTATGAAAACTAGATAGGAGAATTTAAGATGTTCTAAAAATTGTGTTTAATAAAAGAAATATCAATGATGTATGAATTTAATCAATATAAATTTTATTTTTTTAGACACAAATAAAGATGTTGTTCCTGATGATTTGGTTGCTGTTTTCCACAAGCACAGCTGCAATTTCGGGTTTGCAACTCATTTGTTTGGAACAGAACTGAAGGCCCTGTATTCTTTGGACACTGTTCCTCGGGGAGTCAGTTTCAGGATATCACCTACTTCGCATACTGATTTGTAAGTAATAAAGCTCTGATTAAAAATTTATTTTTGGTTTAATATCTTTGAAGAAGCCTTCTAAACAGAATAATCTGTACATTCTGAAACCCAAAAGGTTAAACATTCCAGAAATGTACGTAAGGGATTTTAAACATAAATGTACATGTAAGTAAATAAGGAATGTTACAAGAGTTTCAATTAAAAGTATCAGACTTTATATTTTACCATCTCTACCAGGAAACTGGGGGAGGATTGGGGATGTGGGGAAAATATCTGTCTTCCAGACATTCGCAAACATTGAGAGAAACAAATGAACACATCATCCAATTGGAAAATAAATAAAATCGTGGTTCACTGAAGCTATACATTAATTTTCTTTCATTATTTAAGGGTACATCTGTTGCATTTTCTTCTAAAATACACTTACATTTTTTTATCATGATTTTTATCATGTATTTCATTCCTCCCTACTAATTCAGTGCACCTTTACTGAGAAGATTTCTAACATCTGCACTTGAAATGTCTGTTTCCGTCACCCAGTACCTTATAATGTCCTATGTAGAAATACAATACTCCACCCCGTGTATGTTAGCTACTCTCTTCTTTTGAAAACAATTATTAGAAAATATTGTTATGCACACCAGGTTGAATGGAGATGAACCTGTATCTACATTAACTCAAGATTTCCATACAAGGCTTGATAACTTGTTACGAACATTGGTTCATGCAAGACCACACTTTGTACGTTGTCTAAGAAGTAACTCAGTTGAAGTTCCTGGACGTTTTGACAGAGGAACTGTCATGAGGCAAATCAGATCATTGCAGGTTTTGGAAACTGTTAATCTAATGGCAGGAGGTAAATTGATTAGATTAATTAAAATGTGTAAATTGTTATATTGTTTTATTTTTCTGTATAACTACTATCCTACATTTTGGTGAGGATACATTTATTACTTTCTTTTACCTTCCAGGTTATCCACATCGAATGCGTTTCAAGGCATTTAATTTGCGATATAGGTTACTTGCACCATTTCATCAACTAAGAAGAACTGATGATAAAGTCATGGATGACTGTCAGTTAATTCTCCAATGTCTCCAGCATGCAATGGAAGAACAACCAAAACTTCAGCCATCTGTTAGCACAAGCTGGGCTTTAGGAAAACGACACATATTCTTGAGGTAAATTTGTAATTTTTGTTATTAAAGAAAACTTGAAATATTCTTCCCATTCCTACTTATATTTACCAGTGAAAAAATCAATGGTATATTCATACTGTCTGTACTGTATGTTCATAAATTTTTCATGATTGAAAATCTATTGTAGAATAATGCAATACGTTATATATGTTTTCATTACATACTGTTAACAATTATGACAAGTTTATTTAGAAATATGACCTGGTATCATTGTTCTCGTGTCGATTAAATGAAAAACTATGATTTTTGTAATTACTAAGAAAGTGGATCTTGAAAAATGCTTTTGATCAATTAGTTTTTAAAAGTGGAAGGGAAAAAAAAACACATTGCTTTCTTTAAATCAGAATGTGATGTTATAGTTCTTATGTTGAACATAGATTAAGTTTTCTACTCTTTGAAATTTCAGTGAGGGTGCTCGTCAATTGTTAGAAACACTTCGAGGTGACACACGTCACAATGCAGCTGTTAGAGTGCAAGCGATATGGAGGGCATGGCGTGTGCGCCGTCGGTGGCCAGTTCTTCGCAGAACCCTGGAGCTCCAGCAAACAGCAACCACTGTGGTACAGAGACCTGGTGTAGTGGGAGTGACAAGTGCAGTGGCAGCAGCAGCTGTTGCAGGAGCCACAGGCACTGGTGCACGACCTCGACCACAGCCTATAGCAGGCACTCCACCCCCTGATCCCAACGAGAAGTGTGACCAGAAGATGATTCAGCAAACCTGTACCTTGTTTGGGCTAGATTTGGTAAACATTTCTCATATCAAAACCTATATTTTGTGTGTGCTAAAAATAACTAAATTGAATCCAAAATGGTCACTGTTTGAAAAGCATTTGATTTATCGTGAGGAAACCAATTTAGAAATTTTTTATTTCAAATTAGTCTCAACATTTATGTCCACTTAGTATAAGTCTTAATTTCAAGGGAATTTTAGAGAAGTAAAAATAATAATCAAATTTGGCTACACACTTTACCATATACATTTTTGGTAAAAAATAAAGATCAGTGGAAAGTTGCAATGTATTGTATTTCAAAAACATTTGCGGGATTATTTATTTTTAATACTTAAAATCTGTTACAAATTTAAAAGATAAAATCACTTGTTTTCAAGTAATAGAGATATTTATTCTTAAGAGAATGTTTGATTATTGAAAAATTTCATGTAGCACACCTGCTTCATGATTTACATAAAGGGAAATGAAGAATGCTGAGCAATTACTCTTCACTGCTATAATTACATTCAGATTATAAAAGTACTTCTATTAAGGATTACAACCCCATTTTAACAATGTCCTTCACATTAAGATACATTGAATAATGATCTAGATGTTTCCGAATGAAAACTGTCCATTAATTAACACATTATTAATAACTTGTTGTCAAATATATTAACTTTTAAGTGCTCATTTACATGCTCTAGAACACATAAATCATCTTCCTAACTTGAGTTTTAAAATAACTCTTTCTCTTCTATGTGTTAACAATAGGAGCGCCCACCTCCTGTGCCACCAAGTCGTCCTTACACTGTAGCAGGGAACACAAAACTTGGTTACCCTCAAACAAGAGTAATGAAAATGCCATTCCCAGGTAGGAGCATTTTATTCTTTGATTATAGTAATGATAAGTGGTAAATTTTACATTAGATAAAATATCAATAATTTAAAGGTGCAGAAATCATGTAAGTTAGTATGTTTTTGAATAAAGAGATTAAACTTTTGGGCAGATAAAATGCAACAAATTGTAAAGCATATGCTCAAATATTTTAATAAATGCAATAAAAACAGAGTTTATTAAACAAAGTGTTGTATTAGTCTGGGTGTTTTAATTGCCACGAACAACAAATTGTTGGTCTCTCAGGCTCTGTGTATTACATAATGTTGCTCTGTGCATTACATATTGTTGGTCCACAAGAAATAATTCTGTTTTCTTCCAAACTTTTTACAATGTTGATTCTAATTCCAATTGTTTCAATTTAATCAAAGTTACTGTTGATTTTAAAACTTAAGACAGTGTTGTGATTTAGTTTTGAGTTTGTCACAATGCCTTTTGTCCCTCATTTTCCCATCAGTAATGAAGTAGTTAAGACCTTCAAATGAAGAACCCTATAAAAGTTGGTCAAAAAATGAAGTTAATTTTGTCTGAGGTATATAAACTTAAAATTACTCATAAAAATTTTGAATTGAATCATGACATATCACTGAACAGTTTTGGTGTCTTGAAACAATTTAAATAATAATTAACTAATAACTGCACTATTTTTAAGTTTTTAAATGAAAATATTCAATGTTTGAAATGTGTTTCTTTTTGGCCTGGTTTCAACAATTTGGTCATTGGCAACCTTCGATATAAATAACAATGATTTTACCAGTATTTTTATTTAGTAATGTAATAATTAGAATTACAATTATTTTGTTGTTAGATCTATTTGTCCAGTTTAATATTTTTTTAAAGATGAATAATTTTAATACATTCTCATGGAGACTGGTAGAATTATACTAATTTTAAATATATTCCTAATCACAACAATGAAGAGAGTAGAAATTATTCATTCTTTCAGGATAAAATCAAATTAATTCATTGTTCAGTGATTGGACATTCTAAATTGGTAGGTCAGAATTCTTGATGAATTGTTTGTCTTTTTGACAGAAGATGCTAATGGGGAAGTGGTGTTGCTGAAAGGAGATACTGTGCTTGTGGTGGGAGCCTCCCAGAGACGTGGACATCTGGTTGTAGAACACAACAACATGAGTTTGCATGTGCCATTCCAATTTCTTGAACTTAAACCTCTTGGTGTTAGTATATAATGAAGATGAAGAATGATTATTGTGATATAGAAGAGAATACTAACTGAAAACAGTGCAAGAAATATCCAGTATTGAATGAACTCATTCCAAGTAACAATTGTTTTTCTGTCTCATTTGGTTCCTTTAGTCATATAGTAGCAAGTGTGAATAAATCCATAGTACAATGGCTAATGAGAGTCATTAGCAATTTAAAACTGAATCCTTATATCTGTGGCTCTTCATTCCAAAATACTGTTACAAATAATACCTTGTCATGTAAATTTTAATATATTACAATTTTGTTCAAACAAGGGTAAAGCAAAATGACAACAACAAGGCAGGTATTATAAGTATTAGAAAACCTGCTTTTTTAATGCTTCTATCTTATTTCAGCAAACACCCGAAACATTTTGTTATTAAAAAATATTGATTAATTAGAGTATGATAAATATTTTATTTTATTTTTTCATAAGTGCTTCCATGTTATTGATTTCTTCAGATTGATATATCTGGTGCCTAAATTTATTCAATATGCTAGAGAAAAAAGAAAATATATTGTAGAGATGTTCCGATATAATGCTAAAATATAAATATTTTTTATAATAGACAATATTAATGATAAAGAACATTGGGTAGTTTCTTTATATGAAATGTCTCAAAAAGCATTTTTGCATGTAGAGAAGTTTTCTATGCTTCTTTAAATATTTTGTAAGTTCAGTATTTCTAAAATTTTATAAGTGACATGTGCATATATTTTTGTTAATGTGTCAGTGATATTGTTTATCTATTCAACTATGAGAGACAGAAATGATAAAAGCTCTCGGTGTGGGGATTGTGATTTGAGTGTTTCTCATTCAAAGAGAAGAAACTTCAAGAACTGAGCAGTGTGTAATACGCAACTGAACTTGCCAACCAGCACCCACAATAAAACATTAAATGTGTGTACAAAGCAATTCTCCATGTGCCAACAGATAGTATTCATTTCATTTGTGAAATAGTTAAAGAAAAATCATAAAAACAGTCTGATCAGAGCATAAAAATTAATAATGTGTATATAATCTATTTTCTTATGCTGATCCATTACTTAAATGATACTGTAATAAATTACCTATTATAAAATATAAGTAAACTTGTGTTCACTCTTCAAGTATTTGTTCTTTAAAAAGAATGATAATGTTTTGCAGGTACCTAGAGCCTATTCATTGCACTACTTCATGATTCTGACTGAATTATTTATAACTGAAAAATTGTAACTATAAGATATTAATTCACAAAATGGTTGGAGAAAGCATCAGAAGATTGTTAACAACCTAAAAACTAATTAATATTACTGCATTCTTTTATCAATATGTCTTTTGGACTCAATAAAATAAAGAATGTAGAAAACTCATGAATTCTTCAATTCTTAATGTACAAAAGTTAACTTTAAAATTTTCATGGACATTTTTTTTATTCATTGGAATGTATGAACTTTTGAATCATGTTCAAAAATATATATTTGTGTAAGGAAAGGAAATTTATGAAGAAATGAGTGAATTGATTCTTTGTTTCTTGACAGTCAATATCTGAAGGAAACAATGAATAGTATACACTGTGCATTGATATATTTTTTCTGTAATATATATTGTTTTTCTTTTGTATAAATATTAATTACATTTTAAGCTGAAAATGATTTTTCCCAGATTACAAAACCTTCCTCAACCTATGATAGTGTTTCTAATGGAAACATAATTCAGAAAACTAGGTACATTTTCTTTTTAATCAAATACATTGGAAATGAATATCATAGAAATTAGGAACAGGTGTTATGAATTGTCTGTCATAAATGTTACCAATGTTTCACAAAAATATATGGAAGAATAGATAACAGGTTCACTAGTTTCAATTGGAAGATTTGTTCTTTCTTTGGATAGTAATTGAAACATTAGTACCGGTTGGTATATGGAATAGTTTTGTATATGCCTAAACAGCTTCATACAGACATTTGAAACTTCCGTGAATTTTTATAGAAATTTACCACAACAAGTTCAAAAGATGTTACTAGGCTTTTCAATTCTTTTTACTGAACTCTCTGCGTATTGTATAGGGAATTTTCAATTTCCATTGCCTTCTCAGAAAATGAAACCTTGTTGGTAGGTAGGAGACCACTCAGCAGAAAGGGCCTCACTTGGTTGGTGTGAACTATGGGTCGCACCCACAAAACAGATTGAGCTTTTTCAGTAGTTGTCATGTGAGACACTCCTTCTATTATGTAGCCACTGGTATTCTGCATCCCATAAGTAGTTTCTGGAGAGAAATGGACTTTTACTAAGGAATTTTAATATTATGACATTGGTACTTCAATGTGCAGAACACCATATGTAACTAATAAAAACAAGTTTCCCCAAACAATTTTTATATAAATATAACAAATTATACAAGATTATAAATTTGAAGAGATTGTACGATTCAAGAAATGGTTGTAGTGTTGTAGTTGTTCTACAGGTTTCTGGAAAATAATTAAATAAAAGAAGAAAGGCATTGTTTTGAATATACAATCCTTGTTAGATTTAATATTCCCGTGCGATAACAAAAATTAATTGTGTCATTTGTCTGTGCACCTTAATCAAACTTTTTCACACATGAGAACTCAGAGGCAGGATTTCAGATCTTTTTTTGTGGAAGGCACAGGGAACCCCCACATAAAATGGTAAAAAGTTTTCCTAAAACAAATGGCATATGAGTAGTTACATTATAACTCTAATATAAACATAATATTTTTGAAAGATTTCTTAGCTGCAGCTCACACTCCTCTACAGCCAGAAACATGTTTTTTATTTTAATTTTTTTAACCACTTAATACTATTTTATCTTATTGAAAAAATATGAAAAACAACAAAATAATTTATAGTATCAGAGAAACATTTTTTGGTATTTTCTCAGCGTCAAATTTAAATGCAAAGTTCTTCTAGAAAAAAGAATTACTGTCTTAAGTCTTAGAATACTGGAACAGACTTGAAAAAACTTCAACTCAAAACTTCTTAAAAGATCAGGCATTGAGATTTTTTCAGATTTTATCGATTGCTGAGCTGTAGATAAAAAAACAACAATATATTTTAACTATTTTAAACCACATACACTTGGGAAATGGCTGCAACAGTTCTGTGTTTTAATTTGATTGTTTATTATACATTTGTAATGTAAATTGTCCTGTTGTCCAAAAGAACAATGAAAATTTTTTGATAATGGTACCAACATTATGATTAAAGCAACACATTTGCTTTTATAATAATAGAAAAGTGAAATTACTCAAATAACATTGAATATAACAGAAAATATCCAGCTGATATGACAGGTTCGCTTTTTTTACAGTGTAAACATGACATCAAATATAATGAATTAAGGCGGCTCCACACTTTCGGCAATCGCTGAGCAGCGAGCTACTGCTCACCCAATCCCAAACAACTGATATGTTTGGCGAATGTTCGCTCCCTTTGATGTGCCCTAAAGACCCACGCGCGGTGGTTAGGGCGAATACCGAATGTTCAGTGCTTCGCAAATAGCAAGCAACCCGTCCACACCACTCGGGATTCGTCAAATGCCGCATGTGTGGAGCCGTCGTAATTCATGATATTTGATGCCACTTCTACACTATGAAAAAAGCGAACCTATCATATTCACTGAATATTTTCTGTTATTCCAGTAATTTCACTTTTCTTTTTTTACTGATAAATTGTGGAGTCCCGCAAGGATCCATTCTTGGCCCAATACTATTCCTTATATACATAAATGACATGCCTTTGGCTTTAAGGAATAACAAAATAATTTTGTTTTCAGATGACACAAACATAATCATCAAAGCAAAAACACAACAATCATTACAAAAAATGAAACTCACAAAACTTTGCAAGCACTAGTAAAATGGTTTCAAGACAACAAACTCATCATAAAGACCGACAAGACAGTCTCTATAAATTTCATGAATCCCCGATCTAAAGAAAAACTCTCACGGCATTTGCTCACAAACAATAACCCTGTAACAATGGCTGGTATGAATAAAAGTAAGCAATTACTCTTTGCTCCGAGTTTAGGAGATCCTTCTCAGTTTCGTATGA